CCCAAATCTAAGATCAAAAATAAAAAAGAATAAATCAACTAAAGATGTGTGTGTGTGAATCTGTGTTGTGTGTGTGCCGAATCTATGTGTGAGTGCCGAATCTATGTGTGAGTGTCGAATCTGTAAGTGTGTGAGTTCAAGGGGAAGGTGAGAGAGACGGAGTACTTGGCTGACATACCTGTTCCAGCAAATGGCTGCTCTGATGGTGCAGAGAAAGAAGAGGTGGCTATGGCTGGTAGAGGCGGTGACTGGCCTGTGGGTGTGTAACTTCTGGCTTTCATTGGTGGTGGCTAAGCAGCGGCCCACACAGAGAACATAGTGAGAGCAAAGAGAGAGTAGGGAGAGAGAATTATCTCAAAACCAAAACCAACATACCCACCATTCAACATCAAAAATATGGTGTTTTGGGGCATTTTGTCAAACATATTGTTTGTGTAGTGTGTATGTCTTGAGTGTGTTGTTCGTTGTGTATGTCCTATGCAGTCAGCAGAGAGAGAGAAAATGAGAGAGATACAAAGTGGGAAAGAAGCAGAGAGACGGACAAACAGAGTGAGATATGAGCAGCGGTGTAAAGGGGATGAGAAAAAATAGAAAAAAAAACTGAGATACATAGGCAACTTCTGGGTGTTGAGCAGTAGGTGGTGGCCGCTATTGTTTAACAGTGGTTGTCATTTGGCAATGGCTTTGCTTCATAGATGAGGACAAAGATGGAGCTCTAGATGTGAAAGAGAACTGGGCGTGAGAGAGAGCAGTGGGTGGTGATGGTTTTGCTTCGTAAAAGAGGGCAGCGTTAGAGAGCTGGGCGTGAGAGATGGGGGGATGAGTTTGGGGTGAATATTGAGTTTGGAAGGTTGAGGTTTCGGGGAATAAAGAGTGTGAGTGTAAGAGAAATGCATGAGGTTGATAGAAGATTTGAGATTGAGAGAAAGAGGCAGAAATGAGATTGGGGTAGATTTGAGATATTTCGGAGGAGAGAGAGAGAGGCGTGAGTCCGGTAATTAACCTTGATTAATGGTAAGAAAATTGGCCTTGATTGATGACGATAAAGGAATGAGGAAGAGAGACTTGGGAAAATTTAAAAGCTTGATAATTAAAAAAGGAAATGTTGTTGGGCGGAAAAACAAAATTCAGTATTCACTGTAGATTGTCGGATCAGTATTTATGAAATGATCTGAATCGTTTTTAAGTTGGGATTACGTTGTCTATTTGATGTGTTTATATTTTATCTTAAAAACGATCTAGACCTCTTTTTGTCTCTAAAATTCAAACTCAGTTCTACTTTATTATATGATATATATTCTAATAAAACAAAAATCTAAAATTTAGGAAACCAAAACTCATAATAAATCCACTCCATTTTTTTAACGATGTGTTCAAAGTTTTTGAAAATTTTGAAATTTGACAACTAATATTAAAGAATTTAAATTATCTTATCTTAAAAACTACTAAAATTAAAGAATTTTGATTTTGCATTAAATTTAAGTGTGTGTGTTTATATATATATAGACACACACACACACACACACACACACACACACACACACACACACACACACACACACACACACATATATATATATATATATATAGTTCTAATATGATAAAAATTTAAAATTTAGGAGTTTTAAAATAATACTACGAAGTCACACTATGGAACCTAAAATTATGTAATTCTTAAACCTTTGTTTCTATTACTCCTACACTGTTTTGCTACACTATATTGATATATTTTAAATTTTTGTAAATATATCATAATCATATAATTCGTGAACACTTTTTTCTTTTGGTAATTGTAGTTGATTTTTTGTTGGGATAAATCACATGCATTTGATATTATGATTGTGGATGTACAAAAAATTAGATATTTAATTTCATAAACTATTTATTACCAAACTGTATTGATACACTTTTAAATTATAACTTCATATAAATTAAAATTATAAAGTAATTTTATGTACACCATTTAATTTTGAATTGAACAAATTCATAGCATTTATTAGAAGCCACCACAAAAATAACTTACGGAAGAAGAAGAAAACACATTTTTTTTTAACAGATGACAACTACAACCAACACATTAAAAGGTGAAGGCTACAAAGTCTATATAAACACACACACACCCTAAGGCTATCCGATGTGGGATAGCCCCTGCCCCTACCCACCCAGGCCTTAAAGCCTCACCCAACCTATGGTCAGGCCTAAAGAGGGAGGTTAGCAGAGCCCACAAACGGGCACCCTAGAACATACATGATTTTTTTTTTTTTAATAGAGGACAACTACAACCAACACCTTAAAAGGTAAAGGTTGCAGATTCCATATAAACACAATTTAGAATTCAAATAACAATCATACTTATAGTGATCAACGTTTAAAAACGAAACTGTAAAGAAAGAAAAATTCATAAAACACAAAATATTAAAATTAACAAACAATCATTTGAAAGAGGAAAAATTAACCAAAAAATGGCCATTCAACATAATAAGTAGAGACGAACATGAAAATTATGGAAAAAAAAATCGAAACTAGCTAGCAATCTGTGGAACAATCAAAATAAAAAAAAATGAAAGAAAACATAAGTTCAACCTGATAATATATGAACGTTGTATAAGAAATAATACAAAATACTTGAATTTTTTCGTGTTCGTCGGAGAATTATAAGGATGATATGTTTGTACTTTTTTGAACGTTAATGGCTGATAATTTAGAGAAGAGGGAGATGCTTACTGACAAGAATAATGACAAAAAATTTTAAAATTTAAAATGGCATAGATATACACAACTAACCATCTGAGCAAATCTTGTGATAATATAATTTTTCATTATATTATAAAATCTTTAATACATTAAAACAAAATCAAAAATTTAATTAACTGTCAAAAAAAATATGCATGATTTAAGAGAGGGCAAATTGCCAAAAAAAATATAAAAAGTCAAATTATGTACTTGGACATAATTAAGTTCTGAAAATAAATACTTAATAACCTAATATTAAGAGCTATTACTTCTTGACAATTAACTCTAATTTAGTGTACCTCTTTATAATTTTCCTTTTTTTTTTAATGTCTGACCAATGTTCTACAACATTTGAGTTTTTTGGGTGTGAGTATATTTTTTTAAGACTTATTTGAGAGGGAGTGTATGAATAATTATTTTACTCTATTAAGTTTAATTTTAATAAAATATCTTGTGATTAAATACAAAATTTAAATAACATTTAAATTTTTTTACTTACTTACCATTACTTAAATTTTGCGTAATTATAATTATTTTATTCTCTCTCTCTCTTCTTCTATTTTTCACACCATTACTCTCTCTATTTCCTTCTCTCTCCATTACTCTCTCACTATCTCTCATCTATTTTCTCTCTCTCCCATTGATAATTTATTTTCTTATCAAATATATTAATGCTTTGATTTTTTTTAATCTTTTTTCCCTATTTTCTCTCACCGTTACTCTCTCTCCTAATCCTCCATATCTCTTTATATTAACGTTATAACAACAAAATTACACTAATTCAGTTATAATTGTCCTATAATATACCAAATAATCAATCATGCATTATGATAAACCAAACAATTATACAAAATTATGACACCAACCAAATTTGTCATTCAATTATTTACATAAATTAAAAAGTTACACAATTTAGTATCACGACATAATTACACCAACTATATAAATCAAATTTGGTGTAATGTTAAACTCTTTTGTGTAATGATAAAACCAATTTGATGCATATAATTTGTGTAACCATATCATGATACTAAATGGTTTAACTCTTTGGTTTATGTAAACAATTGAATAACAAATTGGGTTGGTGTTTTAATTTTGTGTTTGTTTGTTATATTAGAACATATGAGTAACCATTTGATGTATTGTAGGATAATTGTAACTAATTGATTTAATTGTATTGTTGTAACCTTGATATAAGGGGGGGAGATAGAGAATAAGGAGAGAAAGAGTAATAGTTAGAGAAAATAGGGGAAAAGAGTGAGATAAAGAGAAAATATGGGAGAAGGAGAGATGAAAAAATTAAATCAAATTTATACATATCTGAAAAGAAAATAAATTATCAATGGGGGAGAGAAGAAAAAATAGGAGATAGATAAAAAGAGTAACAGGGAGAGACAGAGAAAGATAGAGAGAAAATAGGGATGAGAGAATGAGAAAGAAATAGAGAGAAAAAAATAATGGAGTAATGAATGACCTTTTAGTTATTTTATAAAAAAAAATGTACTTTGTGTCAAATAACTTTTGTTAATGTAATTTAGCTCTATTGAGTCTAAATTTTTGTACCGATTTTCAAATTTCCCTTTACATTTTTAAAATTTTGTTAGGCTATGTGGCATGACATTGGGCACACGCAATAACCGGCTAAACTTGGCAGGCATATTAGGCCAAACGCGAGTCCATCAGCCTATCCAAGAGGCTAACCGGCTACCATGGGCTGTCAGGAGGTGGGACAGAATGGCCCAAGAATAGTGGGTCCACATACGGGCCGACAATACTAGCCTCACCACCTAAACAACAATTCTCAAGATGCAACAAAACGAAAAACACAACACCAGGATATGCAGGGACTTAGTTTTCTATTCCCCTAGCATAATCTCATTATCTGGATAAAAACAGTTGAAAAAATCAACTTCAGAAAGGAAAACTTGAGTGAATTACATATAGACCATGCTCAATTAGCCTCATTCAACTCACAGTTCATTAATGGTTATAGAGAGCATATGAATATTTCTAGTTTTCCTATAATAACGAAGGTGCTTATCTTCTCTGGAAATTAAATGCCTTCAGTGATGATGAAAACGGATGCAAAAAGCACCGATTAACCAACAACCACAGCAGCGACCACCCAGAGAATGTCATGTCGGAATCCAAAACCCATATAGCGTGGTGGAAATCAACCCAACCATGTTTATTGTAGGAGTTATTCGAACCGCCATCATTCCAAAGAATACCAAGTACAACCATGTGAAATGCATGAAGAAAAAGTACTAAGAGATTTTGGTAATGGCCAACTCAAGTCCCATCATGAGATACACTATAACACCATATACTAGAACCAGCATGAAAATGTATGGCATCTCAACCATGACCTGCAACATGAATAGAGACAAACGTTGAAATTAAACAAATTGTAGAAAGGAAAAATAAAAACTATATTAGAGACCACGAAAAGGGGAAAAAGACTGAAGGACTTCATATTCTGATTGGCTATGAAAATCTGGAAAAGACAATTGTTTAGTACAATATCTGTTGCTTTTATTTCTTACCTCGTCTTCTTCCACTCTGACGTTAGTTTTCAATAAGGCAAGGGAACATTACATATAAACTAACTCCTGATAGGCTGATAGTTTACTTATGGAACACTATCTCGTCTCTCTCTCTCTCTCTCTCTCTCTCTTTCCCCACCCCCCAAAAAAAATAAAAAAGATTATTGTAAACTGCCTCGTGAAACTGATGGTAATCACATCAGGGAACAACTTGTTACCTACCCAAATGCATTAGGTAAGGCTGAAATCATTTCTGCAGCTCTCTCTCTCTCTCTCTCTCTCTCTCTCTCTCTCTGTGAAACAGTTTGTTCAACGAGCACTGTAGGCTGCAGAGCATTCGCAATTTGTGTTCCCAGAAAAAAAAAAGCAGCATACAAACAACCTATAGCATTAAAGACATCATGTTCCCATGTTTTGTATTTCAAAATACCCAATATTGAAATAAGAGATAGAGGAGAATAGAATCAAGATTTTTTATGTCTTCAGATTACCATTTGGAACCACATTTCCAGAATATCATCCCAAATGTCAATGCTACAGAGATTGTGAAGATGAGTCTCAATGTGTGGTACATTGGATTCCGCCAGTATGACAAATGGTTTTTCTACAGGCAAATCTTAAACTAAGTTAGTAAATACTGAGAATATTGAAAAATGAGTTCTCCTCAATTCCTTGATCAGATGCTTGTTCCTCCTGACTCAAACATGAAATGAAACCAGTGTCCAAAATAATTTTTGGAAGTGGTGAATGGGAATGCTCGATGGATTCGTCCTATGTTTGACACTCAATATATGTACATTTAGACTGTACTTTTGGAATGATAGAGAGAGCATAATTTCGTAAATGTATTCTCAAGGATGATAAGCATTCTAATCTCGCTATTCGGCTAAGAAATGGGTAGACATCATGAATGTTGGGTAATGTTGTGTTACTCCCTTTCTTTATAGCCCAATTTTTTGAATCATGATCCATAAACTTTATAGATTATACTTCGATTGACTACAAATTAGGTCTACGTAAATGCAGATTAGAGATTGGAAAAGCAGGCCAACCTATACAGCTTAGGATTCTTGTAAACTTCATTGAAATTGATCCCCAGAGCAGCTTCTTATGTAGCTGTGGTTATTTCTGACACCCACGATGCTGGATTATCACAATCTCTTACCTTAATGACAACCCAACAAGGGCATCCCTCAATGATGTCAATTCAATAAGTTCCATGATCTCCCCAATAAACAACTGAACATTGAACAATGAGATTTTACTCTCAATAAAATATAAAGACGAAGAAAGCAAGAAACTTGATAGTAGATCTACCAAAGAGGGGAATGGAGAAAAAATGGATTGAAGAGTTCAACCCCATAGGGGTTGCTCAAGATGAACAGCTGCACATGTCATAATTGAATGCTCCTTTTCAAGCTAAGACCAAGAAATTGGACTAACTATCAAATATCAATTATTCAAATTCCATATGGTTCCCAAATGCCCATTTATCAAAGCTAAACCTATAACCTTTTTGATGTCTGATACAACTTGAGGAGGTAGCTGCAGCCAAGCAGAATAGAACAAGGACTCATATACAGTGACATAGGGAAAGTGGACGTCAGTTTGTTCACAGTAGCCTGAAACCCAAGTGAAGGATCCTTGTTGGTTGGAGTACCCTGATATTGCAAAGCTTCTCTCAATATATCCTCCTATTTTCCTCCCACCTAAGACATCCAACGGAGTGGTCTTACCGGCACCACTATCACCCATTAGAGCTGTTAAAATTCCCGACTTAAAAGCACCACTTACACTCTTTAAGAGCTGTAGTCGACGCATTGAAGCACCTAGAGCCTTTAATCCCTGCGACTTGGCATCTCATTATTTGGGCATTAACATAGTTGCTGTCAATGTAAGTTAGAGATAACAGTGGAACATCTACAGTATATTTACTTCTGTCAAAGGTGATGGAATGAGCTTCAAAAGGAAGAACCATTCTTTGATTCCTATTTCCCATAGATCCGGCTTCTACATTTTTCACTCTGAATCAAGAAAGCAGACACTAAAAGCTCGGGGAAAAAAAAAAGGCTTTTTTCCTTATTCATTAAACCTTACCTCTAGGACACATGGGATGAGTAGAATTCTTTCTTGTTGATAGATCAATTCCTTCTGTAATTTTTGTCATCTGGTTCCTCAGTTAATATCTCTTCAGACAGAATTGGTCGATGTTTCCTAACTGTTACAATAGCTTAAATCCATCAAATTAGTAAATCAAACATAGCGTAAAATATTCATCATGATGCTTACAGTTAAGAGAGGACAAAACCCAAGTAAAAAGAAAATTGAATAGCAAAACATATCCAATCTACCATCCCACTCCAATTCAGTACCAGTGTGCTTCAGACATGATACAACGGGATATCAAGATCATACTTCCTAGTGTTTCGTTAGATGTAGGAAGAACCGCTGGCATACACACACCCCTTAAACTTAGTGTTACACTTATAAATATAGCCTTTTCTTTTGTGGTTGTAATACTAGAACGAATACAAACACATGCAGTATGTATACAGATACAAATAGATAAGCTTACATGTCTCAAACTAGCGACAGAATGTTGGGCAACTAGGAAACAACATAGTGACAAAATGAGTGTAGAACAAATGAGAATGTTAAGGTGGATGTATGGAAAAACTAAAAATGATAGAATAAGAAATGAACATATTAGAGAAATAGTAGGGGAAGCTCCAATTGAGAATAATTAAGAGAAAATAGATTAAAATTGCTTGGTCATGTTCAACGAAGACCAATAGAGGTACCGATTTGAAAAAATGAGAAAATTTCTCTTAATGGGACTATGTTGAATGATGACTCAGGAACTGCTGATGTAGAGCTAAGTGGGCTGTTGATGTTTGAGAAGTGTTGAGGTTTAATAAAACACATGTTGATTTGAAATTGTCAAAGTCCGGTAGGCTTGACCTAATATTCTGCTATTTTTTTGGTAGTTTCTGTTATTTAACATGCAATAGATTTAACTGCATTCTTTATGTTTTTTTTTATTTTGATAAGTTGTATAAATAAGTGCTTTGGTGATTAATAAATAATCAAGTTTTGGAAGTCTCAAAATTAAGTTTGTTTTTGCCAGCTTTTGCACAAATGATCAGTTGGAAGCCAATGAAAATACATACAAAGTTTCTCCCTTACCCGACAATCCAACTATGGCTCAAATAAAAAATCACAAGGAGATGAGGCAAAGGAAATCAAAGGCAAAAGATGGCTTATTTGCAGTTGTTTCATCTTTAATTTTCACCAAAATCATGACACTGAAGGTAGCAAATGGAATTTGGGACTTCCTGAAGAAGGAGTATGAAGGAAATAACTGCAAGAAAAGGGATTTTTTGCATCGACAATTTGCCAACTCAAAAGATCACGTTTTCGTCGCAAATAGTATTTGCGACGACAACATGATCTTTTGAGTCGGCAAATTGGGGGTGGCAAATAATGGGTGATGCAAACGATTTTGCATCGGCAATTAACCGTCACAAAAGCTTTTGCATCGGCAAAACCCGATGCAAATGCGCCGTCGCAAAAAAAACTTAGATCCGAGATTTTTTGTTTGCATCACCAATTTTTCGTCGCAAAAAAAACCCATTTGCGATGGTTTAAATCCGTCGCAAATAATATTATTAGCCACATTTAGGGACCGTTGCAAAAAAATTCGTTTGCAACGGTTAAAATCTATCGTAAAAGATACTATTAGCAATAGTAGGGGACCGTTACAGCAAACGCATTTACAACGGTTTTAATCCGTCGCAAAAGATATTATTAGCCGCAATTGTGGACCGTCACAAAAAATCCTGTTTATGATGGTTTTTAACTGTCGCAAAAGATATTATTTCTCACGGTAGAAGGTCGACGCAAAAAATATGATATTACTCTTTTGACGTTATTTGTGTCGACAACTTGTTTTCATTAATAATTAATTTTTTTTAAACCTAATTCTATCTTTCACATATTTCTGTACACCTGTTTATATATCAAATACATTACATATAACATCATTTGATTAAAATAATAAGGTACATCTCTCAAAACAAAAGCATCTAAATTTAAAACTAAAAATATATTCAGCATAAATAAATAACATCCGAAATTTTAAAAACAAAATATTCCAAATTACGTAATCAAAGTGTCAATGCATAATACAAAAATCTAGTCTCCCAATGCACCATTTGCTCTGTAATCATGCACAATGTGTACTCTCTACCAATGCATCATCTACTCTCCGCGCTATCTACTCATTTGACAGCACCTGCAAAAGATATGATTTGTGTTATTATTGTCAATAATATATTTGCTTGTTAATTATATACATATTAATTAAAATAAAATATACATCACTAGACAGTCAAGCAACAATTTTGCCCACTGTCTGCCCAACAATAATTACACCAAGAAAAGGTCTTATCAAATAAGTATGTATCACATATTGTCATACACTATGTTTACCATACACATACACTTACCTCAGTATTGTTCAGACCTTGTGCATGCTTTCTCATTTCCGCCCTAACAACACGTGTCTACAAAAAAAAAAAAAAACAGGCAACACTACATTAGTCAGTATAAATAACAATGTCAAAACTACATTAGTTAATATTCTAGTTTTTAGTCGAATTCTCTCGTCGGAGATCGTATCGAGATCATTTATTTTTCTACATTTTTTTATCACCAAAGAGTAGGTGTATGTCTGTTTTCATGAAAAATGGATAAAGAACAAGCATATTGTCAATGCAAAAAAATGTTGCAAATTGAAAAACGAAGATATTTTATGCAAACCTCTTCAAAAGACCGTGGACATGGCGAGGGTGTTGGTAACTCAAGTTGCACCTGTGTAGATGGTGTACATCTATCTTCGTGTGGCTCTTTGAGTGGCCTATGAGTACTACATGCATCTGGAACCTACGACATTTTTAGGATATATTAAGCTACACATTTTTGGAAATTGATAAGTTATTGAAACAATAATATCAAATATTCAATATACTCCACCGGTCCAACCCCAGAACATCCACCCTCCTCCTAACGAGAACGTATCAAATCAAGTTGTTGACGCATATCATTCATCTCATCACGAAACTCTTCTCTTAACTCCTCTCGTAGCTCTTGACGCATCATCTTTATTTCCAAGTTTGCAGATACTTGAGATGAAGTGGAGGCTTGGTCGTATACATCATTCCACACAACTCCTGAACTATAAGTCCGCACATAGCCATGACCTTCCTCTCCAACTACGCCATGGAATATCTTGTCCCGAATATTTGGAGTCTGCTCCATCTCTGGCACCTCAAAGAGTCGCTATGTGAATTCCTCCTACCATGTTTCAACATGAGCATTTCCAGTTAAGTTATAATAGAATCGTACTAGAAATTTGTACATACCATATAACCTGCCGTCTCCTCGTCACATGGAGCGCCATTCTTTGTACGCGTTTTGATGAACACACTCATTTTGTCTGTATTCTCTCCATTATTTTTCATCTGTATTCTCAGTTTTGAAAGTTGAAATAGAAAAACAACAACATTCCAATGATTATTATTTTTCATAACAACTTACATCCATCCGAACATTACCAAAAGGTGTTCGCCCTGTCCTATGTGTCAGGCTTCGCAATGCACGATTCTTAGAATTTCACTTTGATATTGCCTATAACATTAATAATATAAAAATAAATTTTACTATTTCAATATATGTCATTAATAAAAACTAATATGTGCACATACCTTTGCTTCATCAGTACCCCAATATTTGCACAAGTGTATACCATTGCTCAGGTACCACATGATCAGGAACTTTTTACAAACGGTCTTCGTCTGTTGTAGCATTATCATAATACTACGCCTTCAGCTTAGTTTTCCAGTCCTTCCAAATCTTTCCAGAAATCTTCAAACAGACCTTCCTAAACTCTGGAGGAGCATTAGTGTTATCCTAGCATCAAGATTCCATCCCAGGTTAGAACAAAATACAATGTCAAGTAATTTGTTTATAAGAAAAAAATTCTAAATAAAATATATGATACCAATTTGCAATATGAAAGTCATTGCATGAAGCACATAACAGTTGATAATTTAGACAGTTACATACAACTAAAAAAATTCATTTAGCGATGAAAGCACAATTCATTTTACCTGCACCTATTTCCAAAGCCAATCTTTTGTATCTTTAGATATATATCTCCAAGAAAGATAGTTGAGTGGGAATCGATGGCCATTGCGAACCAAAATGCCCAATTCTGACTTGAACTCGATAGCTAATGGTCCAATTGGTTGTCGCTTATGATTAGGGATGAGTAAGGATGTTCATGAGTTGTTTTGTGTCCAAGGGAACTAAAGTTGAGCATTGATAAACTGGTCTGTGTATTCTGCATGGACTGGTCTATTTCTGCTTTCAGTCTGTGCTGCACTGTTTTATTTTTGGGATTGGATGTTAGTCTCAAGGCTATAGGAGCTGGATTGCAGAATACTGCTGCTTTAATGCAGTTCATGAAAGGAGTGAAGTACTGCATTAGGGGAAATGGAGGATTTTGTTTCCAGGAGATGATTTAATATCTTTATTTCTCTTAAAGGATTAAAGCCAACTATTGGGGGAGTTTTCTTTCTGCATCAGGTCCAAGGTTTCCATAGCTGATCCAGTTTGAGCTGAATGAGTGAAGGAGCTGTTCTAATTTGCTGATCTGGTCTGAGTTGCTCAGCTGAACAGATAGGGCAGGAGCTGAACTGCAGGGCCAAAAAACAGAGGTGCTATATTTCTTTTGGCTGGGATGGTTTCATGTTGATACC